TGCAGCGGACATGATCGAAAGCTTCCGTCTGGAACCTCCAGGGCGCCGAGATCGGCTCACCGCTCGAGCTATACTCGAAAGACTGGCTTCGCGCTGCAGCCATTATGCTGCGTTGTTCGACTAAATCTCAAGATCTAGATTACTTACAGAACTAATAGGCCGTCCGTCGAAAGGCCGAGCCCCCGCAAATCGTGGAGGTCCGCTGCGGTGCGCAGGAGACCAGGTCCTGCGGAGGGCGGGGATCTACTCACAATCACCATCTGGACGGATCGAACTTCAAGGGCCCAGCAGGCGGTGTATATGGATATGTTCGGGACATTTGGGGGCAACTACAAATCCGCCGGCCCCCTTGTGGGGCCACCAGGCTGCGAGGCACGTGATTCGCAGTTTCCTGTACCAGTCGTAGGTTGTAGTTTCCAGTGTTACAGTTCTGCTTCTTGCTGGTTACTGTAACTAGTTGACTTCTTGCTGGTTACTGTAACTAGTTGATTGACCGCGCAAAGGGGGGGGGGGGGGGCCAAACAGGATTTTTAGCCTCACCTGGGCGCGTTGTCTGAATTGCTGGGGGGGCTCGAAATCGATACCCCTCACGCAGATCCGCGGGGTCAGGGTCCAAAAACACAAGGGATTTGCCACATTTCTGCAATTCGGTGCCACCCCTCACGCAGATCCGCGGGGTCAGGGTCCAAAAACACAGAGGATTTGCCACATTTCTGAAATTCGGTGCCACCCCTCACGCAGATCCGCGGGGTCAGGGTCCAAAAACACAGGGGATTTGCCACATTTCTGAAATTCGGTGCCACCCCTCACGCAGATCCGCGGGGTCAGGGTCCAAAAACACAGGGGATTTGCCACATTTCTGAAATTCGGTGCCACCCTCACGCACATCCATCGCAAGGCGTGGTAACCCAAACTGCGAGAACTCCCTCGGCCCTTTAATCGCAAGGTGTGGTAACCAAGCCCGTACACCATACACGTCTTACCAATCGCCAGGTGTGGTAACCCCTCTTGTGATCAGTTGGTTTTGCTGATTGCGAATCGGCTTCGCATGAAGTTTCGATACTGCTTCACAACAGCGCCAAGGCCTCATGACTTAGCTCTTCCATGGCCCATTCTCCGAGAGAGGGGGCCGGCGGCAGGGGGCGAAGCCCTTACGGATAATGGCAGATATGTAATATAATGTAAGTTGTGATGATAAGGTAAGTTCTAACTGATTGAAATATTATCTGCTATACAAAAGTATATGATATAGTGTTGTGTGTCTTATGTGATTGTAAATGATGTAGTAGATGACGATGCAATGCAATATGATCTAGTACAGATGCGTACAAATGACAAAGAAAAACATTAGAGCATGGCCGATGATTGATGATCACGGCCGATGATACGGCGATATGGTATGATGGACGATGGCATATCGTACGTTAAAAAAAATGTAGCACGACATGTCGCAAGTAACTATAATGTGAAGCCATGTCAAATAATGAATACACGGAAACATAAAGCATCGTAACCACTAGAATGTAAGATTTCATATGTTCAACGTACCATACTGTGGCACTGCATGCATAAAGTCACCATGTATATTCTACAAATTGGTATGGTAGACTAGATCATGGCATAATTTAGTATACTATCATAAACCATAGTATGAGTTGAGATCATCGGATGTGGCAAGATATATACTATTTTCTAAAGCCATAGAATAATGCATCATGGCATGTATAGAACATGATATGGCATGATATGGCTCATACAATAAAACACAATTGCAAACATACATACATATCCACTGCCTGCAGAGGTCCCCGAAGATCGCTCCCCCAAGGCGGCGGTTATGCTTACATCCCCGACTGCGCGGTCTGGGCACGAGGGCTCAGAGAGCCGCCGCTTCAGCCTGCCCCCTGCAAGTGTGCAGCAAGAATGCGATGGCGGCGATGATGCACACGCTGCGCGCCAGCGCGGTGAGCAAGAGTACGCTCACAGCGGAGCCCCAGTCTCGAGTGCGATCCATCAACTTCTTGGAGGGCAGGGCCCACCCAGCCCAGGCGCCGAATGCGGAAGTGAATCCAAAGTGTTTGCACATCACCCCAACGGGGTGCCACGCCAGATCTTCCGGCGGAAGGAGACCATCGGAGGATACGTGTTCCTGTGGCCACCACCCCAGCGAGCGGCGATCCGGCTGGCACGACGCGAACGTAGCCGACCAATAATTACGGTGCGTTCGCGCCAAATCTGACATCCGACCCCTCCTACCCATCCGCTCCTGTTGTGCTGCTTTGCTTGGAGCCCGCGGGGTGTTGCAGAGGACCTCGGCCACCAAAATGACACCATCGTGCGATGCGCAACCAGCAAGGGGGCTTTCTGTCCATTGGAGGGGGAGGATGTGGCGGACGAGCAGGAGGACGAGCAGGAGGACGAGGAGGAGCAATGAACAATGTGCCATGCGCGGGGAGCTCCACATGCATGACTCGTCTCGCACCTGAAAAAGGAGGCCACGACCTCTGACCAACCCGACATAGGAAAGAAGCGGGTCAGCCATCGTGAAGTCATGCCCCCACCCCCCCATCTGGCAGAGCCAGCACCGCCCCCGAACGATGGCGAACCCCTGGACGACACGAGGAGGACGAGGAGGCGGGCCAACAGCAGCAGGATTTCAAGAGCGCGCTGTTCCACGATTCGCGATGACGGCCGTTACCGCGGATGCTCCCCCCCTCCACCCCCTCCCCACCTGGTGACGTTATAGTTCGCGCCGGCGCCGTTTGGGAATGGCCAGTCGTAAGTAACTCCCAGACGGCGCCAGCGCGAATCGTGACATTCCCGGCTCCCTTGCACACCCCCTGCCCCCCCTTTGGCCCGCCCCCCCCTCCAACCCCAGACCCTCGACACCTCCAACCGACCACGGCCCCTCGAGACCTAAGAGGAGGCCCAGGGGAAGCGCAAAGGGGACACAGCTCCAGGGTCAACAGCATGAGCGACTCAGCATGTCTCCTGATGCTTGGCATCGATCTGCCGATCCCTGGCCCCATGTGTTGCTGGCGCCCTTGTTGGTTTACGACCCCCTTCAATCGGGTGATGCTAGAAGTGCCCATGGCCCAAGGTGCCCCCAGGATTTCCGCAGAGGCCCCCACGGCCTCCAGAGCACCCCTCACGAGGCCCAGAGGGCCCCGGGGCTCCAAATCTGGACGAAAAGCTCGGGGGAGCACCTCGGTCCAGGGGCACCTCTGGAAACCCCCGAGTTCAAGGCAGCCTCACGAAAACGCATCACGCCATCTGTGCAGGGTCGAGGCCAAGCCCCCCCGTCCCCTCCACACACACACACACACACAAGTTCGTCGGCTGCGAGGCGCAGAGGTCGTCGCACGCAGGCACGACCCAGGGGCGTGCTGGGTGCACCCATCACGAGAGAGCACTGACAAAGACAGAAGAGAGGAAGAGAGAGAGGAGGAACAAGAGAAGAGAGGAGGAAGAGAAAGAGGAAGAGGGGGAACAGAAAGACGGGAGGGGGGGGCGGAGGAGGGAAGAGAGAGGGCGGAGTGACAGGGGCCAAGGAAGCCACCTTTGGCCCCGACGACCCCCCCCCCGCTCCCCCCCAGATATCCTTCGATATAATTCCCCCCCAAGGGTCCCGACCCCCTTCCCGGGAGATCCAGGTTCTCGCCCGGATCCACTCTGATCGCCCCCGGCCCGATAACGGACCCCAGCGAAACACGAACAAGCCGAGCGAAACACGAACTTCGTCGGAGAAACACGAACTTCGTCGAACAAAAAACACACTGAAGGAAAAAAACACACACAAACACACAAAACACACAAACACTGTGTTTTGTGTGTGTGTTTTGTGTGGTGTTTTCCTACAGTGTGTTTTTTTTTCCTACGAGCGACCCCAGCGAAACACGCCCGACAAATGGAGGAAAGGAAACTGCCGAGCCAAAACACGAGCTTCGCCGGAGACCTGGCACCCCCCCCTCGAGCCCCGAGGCCTCGTGGCGAGGAGAGGAAAAACTGCCGAGCGAAAACGCGAACTTCGCCGCGGAGACCTGGCACCCCCATCGAGCCCCGAGGACCCGTGGCGGCGAGACACGCAAGTATCCGTACCCGCGGCCTCGCGGGGGCCCAGCCGGCCAGAGCCGCGCCCCCACGGGCAGGGCGTGCTTTTTGTCGCGGACGTCCCGCGCAGATGAAGGGGCCCTGGGACACACCAATAAACACACACGAATACCAATCTTCCCCCTATTTTCCCATATCTTCTGGGTCTTTGTCTTCCCCCCACTTCCCATATTTCCCCATATTTTCTGGGGGATCGACGATGAATTGTGTCTGTGTGTTTTTTCCCCTCCTGAGCAAAACTTCTCCGTGCGCCCGCCTATCCGCGGGATCGCGCCCCGGAATCCGGACCGCGAGGGCGCGGATACGGATGCTGGAGGGGGCATGAATCGCTCCCCCCTTGGATCCGCTGGGGGGGGGGGGGGGAGCACGTGCTGTCGGATTGGGTGGAGGGGGGTTGGAGGAGGAGGAGGAGGAGGATCAGGAGGGGGAGGAGGATGGAGGGGGGCGGGATTGGGCAGGCTCAGCCAGAAGGTTAATCAACCCCCCCATTGTTCGCCGCTCGTGCAGCTCGGCCGAACCGACCCTTCCAGCCTCTGGAGGCAGGAAAGGCGTGTGGTGTAAAGGGGTGTGGTGACAGTGCTGGATCTGGCGAGGCTATCGATCGCAGATGACATCGCCAAGTCCACGATTGGCGCCACACCCCTTCACTAGATGGGGCCCTAGGACACACAACTAAATACACACAAATAACCGGACCCCCCATATTCTCCCATATTTTCCGGGTTCTTGCCATCCCACCCCACTTCCCAGGCTTTCCCGTATTATTTTCCTGGGAATCGACGATGACTCGTGTCTGTGTGTGTTTCTGTTCCCTCCTGATTCGTGCCACCCCCCCCCCCCCCCCCCGACCTCCAGACAGCCCACGGGGCCGCCCCGAGCGCCGGCGGAGCCTCGACACGCTCGCGCTCGCCCGGCGTCTCCGGCCCGGGCCGCGGCCGACGCTCCGCGGCGCACATCCAGGCGGCGTCCACCTCCTGCCGGGGAGGAGAGGGCGCCGCCACCGCTGCTGCGCGGCGGCAGCAGGGAGCGCGCCTCGCGCGGCGGCAGCGGGGAGCTCTGGAGCAAACATAATGCGGATGTGTTTCTATGTTGTGTGTGTCTCTCACCCTCTCTCTCCCTCTCTCTCCTATACATATATATATATATATGTGTATAAATATGGATATGTATATGTTCATATATGTGTGTATAAATTCCGATAGCTGATATGTATATATATATATATACATACATACATACATACAAACAGACAGACAGACAGACAGACAGACAGACAGACAGACAGACATGCATCCATACATCCATACATACATACATGCATACACACATATACATACATACATACATACATACATACATACATACATACATACATACATACATACATACATACATACATACATACATACACACATACATACATACATACATACACATACATATATATATATGTACATGCATACATACATACATACGTGCATACATACATACATACATACATACATACATACATACATACAAACATACATACATGCATGCATGCATGCATGCATGCATGCATACATACATACATACATACATACATGCATACATACATACATATAGACATACATGCATACATACCTACAGATAGACATGCATGCATGCATGCATGCATGCATGCATGCATACATGCATGCATACATACATACATACATACATACATACATGCATATACATATATATATATATATATATATATATATGTATATATATACTCAGATAGATAAGAAGAAAACAAGAAAACTATGACATATGATAGGCGAACAGAAACGGCACAGACGGAAGCCGCAGGAGCTCCCCGCGGGTGCCTTGGATCCGCGAGGGGCGCCCCGCTCCCCGAGGGGGCGAGCGGAGGCGCCGCCAGGCGGGGGGCCCCGCGCGGATCCAGGGAGGCCCGCGCGGAGCTCCGAGAGGCTACGTCTACGCAGCTGGTGCGTGACACGGATCACCCGGCTATCCTTAGGCCGGATCTTCCTCCTATAGAGGGACACGCCCGACGTGAAGATATAACCCAGGTGATCTGGTGGGGGGGGCGGGAAGGTGCCAGCCGTGTTTACGCAACTGGTGCGTCACACGGATCACCTGGGCGATCCTTAGGTCGGGCATGTCCCCCAGCAGGCGGATTTTCGGCGAAAGTTCAGAAACTTGTTACAAGAAGCATATATACATGTGTGTAATTATATGTATATGTACATACATATATATATATAAACAACAGGACAACTGCCAAAAAATAATACAAAAAACGTCCGCAGACTATCTTCTGCTACTTTTGGATCTTCCTCCTGTAGAGGGACACGCCCGACGTGAAGATATGACCCAGGCTTATCCGGTGGGCGGGGGGGGCGGGACGGCGCCGGCCGATCACCTCGCTAGTTCGCTCTGAGCAGCCCGTCGCGCCTGCCCGCGCGCACCCATCCTGCGTACCCCCTCCGGACCTGCGCAGGCGACGAGGTCAGGCTGTCCGGGGGGGCGGACGGGCCCGATGCCCGGGGTGATTGCCAGACCCTGCAAACCAACCCAAAAAGAAAAAACGACTCCAAGATGGAAGAAAAAACGGAGGAATGGGGGATTGGCTCGTACTCCGCAGTTCGCTGCAGGGACGGTCCCTCATTGGTGGAACACGTGGACAGGGGGCAACCCGGCTCAAGACCCAAACAAGGGGAAGGGAACGGACCAGCGGACCAGGGCGGTACTACTGGTCCTGCGACTGGATTTCCTTACCCCCCCCTCCTGCCCCATTGTCAAGGGGAAGGAGAATGGAGCGGAGTAGACGCCATCACGACGTGAATCCCGACCGACTACCTCGCAGACCTATATGCCTGCTGCCTGCAAATCAGAGCCTCCAGCCCCAACCTTTGGGAAATCCGGTCAACATAATCCTGTCGAGTACTGGACTTCAGGTGCGCGCACTGCTCTTTAAGATTCTGTCTGAGGAACTCACTGCTGTAGTAGCTCCAACTGGTGCAGCACCAAAACCCGAGGAGGATGGAATGATACATCAGATCATGAAGCGGAGGCACCCAACCCCCACTGAGATGTAAGTGCCGCCCATTGGGACAAAGATAAGCATGGCCATCCTCAGGCGCGAAGGAGAAACACTGGGTCTTCCACCACCTCTGATGAATGGCGGCGGAGGCAGACCTCCGACACGTCAAACATTTCTTGCCGAAATCACTGAAGGCGTGTGACGCCTGAAGAAAAAATCAACGGAGGTGGGCGAGGGAGGAGGGGTCGGTCCCGCCTGAGATGAACTGCACGGAGTCTCGCTCGCACTGCAGCCTCTGCCGCCAGCTCGTCTCCACGCGTATCACCTACGACCAGCACTCTTGGAACCTGCTGCTGAAGAACAGCTTGGGGCTCTAAGTGAGACTCAAGTTAGATCACAGAGATAGACGAGTGGCGCGAGAGAATATGATGCTCGAAATTGCCGTCTAAAGAGATCCCAAGCTCCCTTATTACCCGCAGACGGTTCCGCGCACTTACTAGCATACCATCCAGAGGCAACTGGAGAGCAAGGTAGAGCCCATACAGCTTGCCTCGGGAAACATCATGACGTCCACCTGGAAGGGGCCCTGACATGAAGACACCCACTTGGGGAGGCTGGGTGGAAGCCACAGCAATGACTGGCGACACCGACGCGACGGAACCGAGGTTCCCGAGCGTCGCGGCCCCCCGCTGGCATCCCCCAAAAATGACGAGGGGGCTGTCGAACCCACCGTGCCCGAGCGCGAACCCATCGACGTCGGCGGACCCACCGCCCCTGCCAGCTGGGATCGCCGCTGGGGAGCGGCAGATCGGTCCGAGCTCGAGGCTCGAGCCCACGAAGCCAGACGAAGGCCTCGCCCTCATGACCTGAAACGACTCCGCTGACCAAATCGTCGGAGTCGAAGATCACCTTCGCTCCACGACTACTCCAGATTTCGTAATAAAAGGGAGGACTTCTGGACCCTCCAAGACAAGCCATTTCAGACCTCCCCCGTGGGAGAACCCTCCAAAACATCGTCCCCAGACCCCCCAGGCCCTCCAAGATAGCCTGGAAGAGACCCCCCCCGAAATGAGACCGCCCTCCCTTTATTACGAAATCTGGAGTCCCTCTGTCCAGGCCTGAAACCACCGGTGGCAATTTTGATCATGACTTCGGCATGTCGGCGCCCACGTGGGCCCCATCCGCAGGTTTCGAATGAGTTTCCGATAGCTGTAATTGTCGATGCCTCCGCCGCGCATGCACTGCAGTAGCGCGCTGACGCGCGCGACCAGCACTGGCCTTGAAACTCGCGCTGCAAATCATCTAACAAATCAGACTGGTTCCCGGCCCCCGCGAGATCGTCTTCGTGAAAGCGCCACACAAATAATAACTACTCCATTCGTTCGGAGCGCGGGGCTTCCAGTTGGCCTCGATGAGATAACTGACGATGGCGGCGATGGGGCCTCTGACGTGCCTGCCCGGCGACCTCGTCGGGGGCGAAGGACCAAATCTGGCAGCCCAATCTTGGGCCACGCCATACGCACCATCGGTCGAATCTCTGGAGCACGGAACCAAGTGGTGAGCCTGAGCCACATCTTCATGGCTTCGCGCGGAAACCCAACTGCTGGACCGGCCCCTGGGATCCAAAGGAGAAGTAGATTGGCAAGGCGACGCCCTTCAGCCTCTGCCCCAAGGGAAGCCTCAAGCCGTCGGCGGAACTGCGCTCTGCACCCTCCAAGAGCTCCACACACGCGATGGCCATGCGAACTAGCAGCCCGCGAACTGGCCCTCTCCGGCTTGCCCGCAACGAGGTGGCTCTCCGAAGACTGGGCAACATTCTAAATTTTCGGGGTGATCGACTTACCTGTGATAACACTAGGGGAACAGAAAGTGACATAAACATAAAGACTCGGAGGTCCGCGCGGATTTCTCGGATCCGCGCTGGACCCCCCTGGCGGCGCCTCCGGCGCCGCCCCTGGCGCGCTCCGAATCCGCGCGGACCTCCGAGTTTTTATGTTTATGTCATTTTTGGTTCCCCTGAGCACGCTTCTGCCTCGTACGCCGCGCTGGCCGCCCTGCGCCAAGGTCCACGCCGAGAAGTGGGGCCTGCCGAACACCGTTGGCTGCGGTGCCTGGCTTCCCAAGCTGCTGGGCGACGCGCCGCCCGGCTGATGGCCTCGAGCGCAGCAGCACGCTCCCAGGAGCGGCCTCAAAGGCCTGCCTCGCGGAACGTCTGGCACGCATCGCGAGGAACAGCGTAACGCCGAGGCTCGAAAGGCGCGCCTTGATCCCTGGACACGCTGCGAAAGACCATCGACGCATATCCTCATTGACATCCCCCGACGCGGGCGGTCGACGAATCCTCCTAAATATGGTAGACCATGCAACTGGCGAACCGGGTGCCTCTCCACAGCCTCGCGCACGATGCTGCGCAAAGGTTAAACGGCTAAAAAAAGAGCCCGGCGCGACCCCAATTAGGGGAAAGCTTTTGCATGGGCGCGGTGCTTGACATTGCTTGGCCTTGCTTGGCATTGTTTGGCAGTGCTTGGCATTGCTTGGCCTTGCTTGGCATTGCTTGGCATTGCTTGGCCATCACCACCATCTCAATCGCCAACACCATCATCATCACCATCACCCGCATCATCATCATCATTACAATCGTCGCACTCACCCCCTTCTCCTCTTCCTCATCGTGTTCGTCCTCCTCCTCCTCCTCCTCCTCCTCCTCGCCATCATCATCATCATCATCATCATCATCATCAGCATCATCCTCATGAGTATCTCCTCTCCCACTTCAGCACTGTCCTCCCCTCTCATCCCCGCGTCCTCTTCGATGCCGAAGCAGCTGGACAGCTCCACCAACCACTCCCAGTGCTGCCC